CACGCACGCGGAATATATATATATACACAAGTAAATTCTATTTCTTCATCCCGTGGCGACATGTGTCGGCGTGTCGTCGTAGGGCGGGTCCAGCGGTTTGACGTAGCTCAGGGGCGTGTCGCTGGGGGACGCTTGCAAGCTGGGGTAAGGTGTCAGCTCTCCTCTCATAGCCAGCCTGTCGTCGGGAGCAAAACCAACACATTATCAGAAGTAGATAATAGGGAATCCCTATTATGTACTCCTGACATTATCCATCCACTATGCCTCTGCTAGCATCTCATAGTAGCATTCCCTCTATTAATTACCCCTGAGGACATCGCATAGCAACTCTCTTATTATTTATATCAGGAGTAGATATAGTCCGAGATTCCTCTGACCAATGCCCACACCGACGATTTTGGTGGTTTTGGTGTGGGTTAGAGACCAAAAATCGTCGGTGGTGGGCATTTGCGTTCAGAGGAATCTCGGACTAGAGTAGATAATAGAAGATCTTCTATTATCTACTCCTGTTTATATCTTATTAGCTTAGCAAATCTCTATTATTTACTCCTGGTAGCAACGTGTAGCAGCATCCCTTCTATTGTTTGCTCCTGGTAGGCATAGCATAACTGCATTTCCTTATTAATTACCCCTGAGGGCATCGCATAGCATATCGTAGCAGTATCCCCCCCCCCTGATGAAATGCCCCAGCCCGCAATTGATTACATGAGTCGATGACCCCTGTAACGCGGTAACCGGGGTCTTCTATACCTATCAAGAGCATCCCATCATAACATCAATAGCAGCACGCGGTAAGAGTTAGCGGGAATACACAGCGGCACGCGTCATAAGCATAGCATGCAGCAATCCTTTTTATTATTTACCCCTGATGCATACTGCATAGTAGTGCTCATAAGGTCTGATGTCCCAGGAAGTACTATGATGAGATACCCTGAAGGTGACTGCGTTCCGATATATCGAGACGTACCCTGGTAAACTATCCTGATCATGTTAGGAGACTAGGGTTACGGGTTCAGGGTTAGGGCAGTTAGGCGTAGGCGACTCCTAGATCTGTTAGTGGATGAAGGCGAGGACGGCTCCGCGCTATTAGATAGTACCAGCTGGTACGTTCCGATATATCGACCTGTACCCAGGTACCCTCGATACAGTTACCTGAGGAATACATGCCTCTCAAGCCTTAGTAGTATCCCCCATATTATCAGGAGTCTATCAATATACTCAATATATATAGATAGACTCCTGATATTATATAGTTCTGATAGCACAGCATTAGCAGCACCCATCGTATTATTTACTCCAGATGGCATAGCGTTGCCACCTTGTGATATACTTCTAGCGATGATTACGCATAGCGTAGCATGCATGCATAGGCATGACGTAATGCTGGCATAAGTGCATGTAGCGGTAGCCATGGCTAGCATAAAAGCATAGCGTAGCGCGATAGCATTGGGCATTGCATAGATGGTAACTGCTAACATGCCATAGCACATAGACTTAGCATAGTCGTAGTGCACATAAGATGACTAGCATAAGCATAGCATAGAGTAGCATCGCATAGCGCATAGTTCATTAGCGTAGCTAGCATAAGCATAGCATAGCATAGCCGTAGACGTGAGCATAGCATAGCATAGCGTAGCGTAGCATGGCATTGGGTGAATAGGTAGGTTGTGTCCGGTAACACGCTAGTCGCAATATTATTTGATACATCTGTACAGGTGGCCTTTATCAGGTGCGAATTCTCACCTGGCTCTCGTGTCCGGGTCGTGGAACAGTGACTGCAGCATGTCTTCGTCGACCATGTCCCGACCTCCCTCGCTCGCCCTCCTTCCTCCTCCCACCACCCTCGCCGACTGCCTCTTCTCGTCAGATGGCGCCACCTTACAGTGCACGTATTTCCTGCGCACCGCCAGCGCTAGCGTCCAGATCGCCAACGCCAGCAGCAGCATGATGGGTCCCACTATGAGCAGCTCCTTCAAACTAGGGTACGACAGTGGCGCCGCCGCTGCGGTCGTCGGCGGTTCGTCGCTAGCTGCGGTAGTGACGTCACTCTCGGTGGTGTCCGGTAACTGCGTGGTGGCGCCCTCTGTGTGGTTACCACTAGCGTTTGTCGCCGCGCCGACGTCGTCCTCGTCGTCGCCTCTGAGTTTCACGAGGGCGCCAGCCGTCGTCAGTATGCAGCCGATGACGAGGAAGAAAGCGCCGGACCACGCGAGCGTCTTCACTGCCGACCGCATCTCTAGCAGTAACACCGCGTTCGCCGCATGACTGCTGCCTGCCGTCGTGACTGCGTCATCGGCTGTCGCGGAAGCGTCACCTCTTGTCATGGCAACGTTACCTGTAGTCGTGAAAGCGTCACCTGTTACCATGGCAGCGTTACCTGTTGTCATGGCAGCGTAGCCTGTCGTCGTTGCTGCGGCTTCGGCTACATTGTTATTTCTCGCCGTTGCTGTGGTTACTCCTCCGTAGTCACCTGTCTTCGTGAATGCCGAGCTGAGAGCTGGCAGTGCTACTGACGTCATCGCGGCGTCTGCGGTTTCCATGCCGACGGACGCTTAAGCTTCGCGTGACAACTGACGCTCCTCGGCGCGATAGCAAGCTTTACCCACTGACAAGGTATCAGCACACTGGATCGAACCCGCGGTCCGAGAGAAGGAGAGAGAGAGAGAGAGAGAGAGAGAGAGAGAGAGAGAAAGAAAGAGAGAGTGGGAGAGAAAGAGAGAGAGAAAGAAAGAGGAGAGAGAGAGGGGGAGGGAGAAAGTGTGTGTGTGTGAGAGAGAGAGAGAGAGAGAGAAAGAGAGAGAGAGAGAGAGAGAGAGAGAGAGAGAGAGAGAGAGAGAGAGAGAAATTAATCAACGAAGCACAGTAGATCGGAGAGCCGACGGAGGCGGGCGCTGCATCGTTCCTCTGCTTCCACGTGCGACGGAGAAGTACAAAGATGGCCGCGTGACGGAACGCATCTTTGTTTGACTGACGCGCCCATCGCTTCGATCCTCTCTCCTCCTCCACCACCTCCTTCCCGTGCGTGCCGACACACGTCGAATGCCGTCAGAGAGCCGTCACAGTCATGCTCCGTGGGCCCACTCAATTATTTACGACGCCTGCCCCGCAACCATCGCAGAAGAATCAATCACCAGAAAGTTCTAATTAATTAGGAAAATTGATCTCGCAGCGCCGCTGGGGGGTCAATGAAATACCGTGAGGGAGCGGCAACACGAGTGTGTGGATGTTCGTGTGAATTTAATCTGGAGGCTTTCTAATTAGGTGCGTTTCGTGTGATAACTCTCTGGTCGGCGGGTGTTGATTAAGAAAGATCCCTGGACGATGTAAGCGACTGACCTGTGGCGAAGTAGGTACTAGCTAGGTCTGTCGCGCATACGACAGAAGAAACACGGCACATGAAATGGGAATATACCTTTATTATACAACCGCAAATTAATAAATGCATGTATGTGAAGGGAAAACGCTGCGGGCTTGCGGTATGTTGTGCAAAGCTCTTTAGAAATTCCGATATCGCCAAAGCAATAAAAAGTATTCGAACTACTTTTTTAGCGATAATTGTGTACCAACTGCGTCAACCAAAAAATATATGATAAAATAAACCAGTTTCTCAAATAAACTTGACGGTAAAGTAACTGATGCGTAAACGAGGGCGAATTACACGCTTTTTATTGTGGCAAATTTCAATTAGTATTTTTTTATTATTAAAACTATCTACAATGTATGTATGAAGTAGACACAAGGACAGATGAGTTATATGGGAGCATGTTTTAGAATGCGCCCTGGGCCCAAATTGACCTTTACGGGTAATTAACTGACAGTCTGCCTAGAGGGGAAATAGTGATTAGTGTGTTGCTCGATCCATCCAATTATAATGAACCACTATCCTAGATCGAAGCTGTTTTGGAAGTTTTCACCCAAGTAAACTTTGTTTTTTCGAATTTCGTTAGTTTTTTGTTAGGTTAACCTTCAGGAACATCCCATCGATCCATTAATAAAAAAGCATTTATTAGAATGTAAGGCTGATAACTAGTAAATGTGCCTCAAATTCTGCCGCGTGTGTAATGTTTGAATGTCCAAAACAAATAACACTAATGACACATTTGCCGAGTTTCACTGGTTCATGCTTTTAATGTGTGTGACCGATTTCTGTTCGATTTTCCTGCACCCCAAAAGACGTACACCACTCTACCAACCAAAACCAATAACGATACTAAAGCGTGCATTCCTCAATTTAATAATTTTGTAGAGGGAAAACTCCACAATTTCCACAGGATTCCCCTTCAAGCATTTAGATTTACGTGTTCGCAACAGACGTCATTTTTCTAAATCCCAAATCTTCCAATGCCTTGACCATCGTTTCCTTCCGCTATGGAAAGATTTATTATTTCTGGCCACCGTACGATGGCGCTGCTGTTAGCCGAACGTTGAAGGATAGCAGATATTATTATCTTTTCACTTCTTGCAAATATGTGTGTGCAGATATAACTTGTGTGTAACTTGGTGGAATTTTATTTTTTTTAAAGTACTAATACTTACATATGTAACGATCGCCCGTTCCCTTTACTGGGAGCTTACTAACCACACTATCAAATCATCAAAGGCTGGGAATTAAATTCCAGTTACATCGCGCTACAAAATAATAACGATAATGAACGAAATGAATGATGCAGCACAACATGAATTTTTTGATAGCTGCCAGGAGAGAACAGGGTACCAGTGTAACTGCAAGGATTTAAAACTAGCCATGTTTGATATGCTAAATTTCTTATTTATTTTAGTTACGTATCATAGAACAATAAACAAGCCTACATTGTTCAAAAAGATATGGTACCGATATTTGCTGCTAAAAGTGCCACAACTTGTAACACTATTTTAGTTGCAGTTCACTCACGTAACGTCAACTAAAACGTTAGTGATAATTTTCTTACACACTGTTACCTTGTCCTGTAGTTTGTATGTACAGCACACACAAAGTCAAATCCACAAAATTAACAACAAAAAACATTTCATTCAAAATGTTATTTTTATTTACTTGTGTACATGTACTTCTCCCTCTCTCATTATCCTGACTCCCGCAGGTCACTGTTACACAAACTCGTTCACCGTCCGGACGCTTAGTTCTTGTAGCCACGGCTCTTTCTGCGACCGCGAGCGCGCTCGAACTTGCGGCCCTTGCTACGCACGTATGGCTTCGTGCTGCTGTGCGGAACACCAGGGGCGGCGCCGAAGTGCCTGTACGACTCGCGTGCCTTGCGACAGCCTGCAAGCGAGCGGCAAAGCCAACGGTTAGACAAACGTCAGAGCGGTAAGAACACTCGGATCGGCGCGAGTTTTCCTTGCAGAGACAGGGGGTTGCATCTCCGAGACGTTTGGGATGATAGTAGTCTTTGACAACTCATTTTTGCCAGGTCCCCCCAAAAAAATTCCACTATTATTTGTACGTATATATTATTTTATTATTGATTTAAAATGTAGAAGCTGAGCAGTGATTATTACGTACGATATTTTCGAACCACGCAAAATGATGTACCGCAGCTATTTCAATTTTTTTTAAACCATGGGTCAAACTAACAGTAACACTAAACCTAACACTAACGGTGCACGGTAAAGGTGCGTGCAGGATACAAACTCACCTTGCAGCAAGACGGTGTTCTGTCCCTTCGGGGACTTCAGGGCCAGCTGGTCAAAGGTCATGATCTCCCCACCGGCCTTGAGAATTCTCGCGCGCGCCCTCGCCGTCACGTGGAGAGCGCAAATCTGGAAAACGCACAACGCGGACATATGTCAGTACGAGTCGCACTCACACGGGGCGCACCAGCGATCGTGGGGGAGACGGTAACATCGTGGCAGTTTCTCAGCAAGACTAATCAATGTCAGCCATCACAGACAATCCGAGACAGGGCAATTGTCATCACCGAAACTCCCCGACCGACACTCGCTCGTAAAAGTCGACACCGAACGACGACAATGAAGCTAGGAGCTTTGTGACAGGAACTTTACTGTTAGTTATCAACCGGGTTCGAAATGAAAAATATCCGCACAAAAAGTTACGCAGCTAACATCAGTTCTTCCAAATTTACCAGTTTACAATTCAACCCTATCGTAGGATCACAGATAGGGTGAGGATTAGGGATATGGTGACGACGACGCCGCCAACAATTTATGCAGCACGCTCGCAAAGTGGGATTGAGCAATGGTTTACATCATTAATGAACTATTTATACACTAACAACACTATTAGAACTGTTAAGTTTTGTGTCCAGTTATTAAACCAAATATGAAAACATAAAATTGGTTATTCTTACACTCAGCTTGGGAACATCAAACATCCTCAGGTCGTCCGTAACCGTGCCAACAATAACAGCAGTCTTGTTCTCCCTTCCCTTGAGTTTCATCTTACGAACCTGTAAATAAACAGTTAACTGTCACCATATGCCAACAAACACCACAAACACGAGTACATAATTACAACAGCTTACACGAACTGTAATCCTAACCCTAATTTATTTAAGTTTGCTGTAGTTACGGATTAAGGTTAGTGACAGTGTTTTCAGCTGTCAACAGGTGGCGCCATAATAATAGAAGCAATTCCAGAAAATGTACTGTATCATGCACTAAAACGGAGGTTAGACTGTCAATTTCCTAAACTCCTTCCATCAACTGCAACAAAGTAATCACGTCACACTTGTTTAACGATTTTAATATCTATATAGTGGCAGTTTCTCAGCAAGACTAATCAATGTCAGCCATCACAGACAATCCGAGACAGGGCAGTTGTCATCACCGAAACTCGCCAACCGACAATTCAAAATAGTATCAGCTCATTTAGTAAAATTAGACATTCGATGAACAGAATCTATAGTGGCAAGTGGGCATTTTTTTCTCTGACTAATCAAACTAATTTAACGAATTCTAAATATGTAACATCAGCACCACTTGTGATCACAATAACTACTAGTACTACTTTAGTACTTACCAGCCTAGCAACAGACATTGGGGGTCTGTTATTCTTGCTCATGAAAAGCCTCTTTAGGATGATCTTGTTGAATTTGGCTCCAGTTCTACGAGCCAAGAAACGGTATAGTTTCACAAGTAAGAGCAGATACACATCCTTACTTCTAGGTTCCTTCCTGACCGGCTTACGGTCATGTTTGTGGCAAATATCCACGCCCTAAAACAATACAAACAAACTAAATTAAGAATACGTAAGTAATAACCTGTAAATAATATGAAATATAGTCAGATTGCTGTGATATATAAGGATTCTGTCATTAACAAAATTGCCATCATACACACCATTTTGCCAGTATGGCGGAAAAGACCAACAACAGAACGTTCAAAACATGGCTAACTGCGATAATGTTCACTAGATGGCGGTGCGATTCAGCCGTGATTTTCAAATGTTTGTTGTATAAATTATGCGCGTTCTTGTGCACAAACATCATCATCAATATGTTGTGGTAGACGGATAGAAAATGGAATTGTCATCGAAAAAGGAGACCGGTATATTGATAATAATACTTGCTTTTTGTTTCTGATTCGGCTTGTTCACTTAGTTACTTGTTGCACCAACCTCCTCCACCACACGAGTCTCTGACTCTAGATTAGTAGGCCTAGTTTGCGGGGTTTAGCAACCTGCAGGCTGCACTGTTTACATTCTAATTCTTGTGTCCAGAGAGACATGATACAAGATTGCGTGGCATAGCTTTGCTGTTGATCCAGAGCGCTGCGCGCGGAGCACAGGCACTTGGAACGTCTCAATAAAATAAAATAATGTATTGTAAACACGAAATGTATTTAGTATTTACTACCAAAGTCTTAATGTTTCTCTACTCTATCATTTATGTCGCCTATTATTGCCGATAATCACCTGTAAATGCCGGTCAAATGCTCATCTGCAACACACAAGTACACCGCACGCCCGCCACGTGCACAAACAACATGAATAAGAGAGCAGGTAGGAACAGAGTGGCTATAATATATACATATAATCTGACATCAGGCATATATCTGACGGCTGCCGGGCACGGTCTTCGATTTCCTAAATGCCCGGCAGTTTTTAATTTTTAGCGTTATCGCAAGTAAACAAGGGTTAGGGTTAGTGTTAGGAACGCATGAAGGGTCGTTGTCGTAACAGGTACTACAGATATGTACCCGAGGTAGTTTTAGGTTGTTTAGTATTATGTTTATATTTTTATATGAGGTATGTTTAGGGTTAGGGTTAGAGTTAGGGTTAGGGTTAGGGTTAGGGTTAGTGTTAGGGTTAGGGTACACTTCTGTAGTACAAGTCTGGTACACTTTGTGTATACATATATGTACCTCGGGTACATATCTGTAGTACCTGTTACGACAACGACCCCTTGAGCACTAGTAGCCTATTAGTATTAGTA